ACGGTATCAGAACTTTGCAGCCGTCTCAAAGATATTTTCGGCCCGCAAAGAACGGTAGATCACTACCGCGGCGAAATGGCAAATATATTCATGAAAAAAGATGAACACGTCATCGACTTTATAAGCCGCACGAAAGACATTCGCGACGCAATCATAGACTGCGCCCGTCGCTCGCCTAATATTCCGGATATAGATACCCTAACGGTAGACTGTTTCATCCGAGGTGTTATACCGAAAATACGAACCGAGCTTCGTCACCTTCGTACCAGCCCGCCTACACGCGTTTTCAACGAAGCTATCGAGCTATTTAACACTAGGTTTACGGGACCCGTCAATTTGACGGATTTCAAACTTTGAAATGAAATACCCAAAAAACCATAGCATTAATCTTAACCACTATGCATCGTAAATTTATAATTTCATTAAAAGAATTTATACACATAATTATTATTTTCCTAAGCTTTATAAATTTTGAAATTTGTATGTGGTATACCTATCTCTACGAAACCCGTCAAATTGACGGGTTAGCTGAATATGTAAACAAACCTTATATATTTGCTTCGTTTGTAAAATTATTCCTCTAATAGTAAATATAAGAGTGAAAGAAAAGTCTAAGGTGCCCCAACTCATTATCTCAATAGCGCCTCGATAATGTGACATAAAGCGAATTGTATGGCCCGGGTGTCATGTTACTTCGCATTGAACGAAATCGCTTATCAGAGTAATCCTCGCGTCATTCGAAACTCAAAGCATGCAACAGACTAAATGTCGTATTGAAAAGATTATCGGTTGATGTGTTAGTGCACACATAACAACGCACACAAGCAATTTTCACAGCCGGCGATAGCCGACGTTAGGCTGCGGTATGCTTTGAGTTTCGTATGCCGCGAAGATCGATCTGTAACGATCTCCAAAGATATCTCTAAGGCACGAGACGATCTTCAGTATAGTTGCTGCAGTGACAGTGGTAAGAACATTTTTCGAAGACAGTGTGCAAAAGTTTCGGTTATTGTAGTTTCCGCTTATTGTAGGTATTTACAATAGGGTAATTGAATTTGGGCACAGTATTTTTTTACTTTCGCCGATCACCCTTTTCTAGCAATCATGAGTAAAAACAGGAGATATAGTAAGAAATTGACCAAAATTATCAACATCAATGACGATTGTTCTGAGGGTACCTCCGAAGAAGATCAATATGAATTATGTGAAAGTGAAGATTACAGTGAATAT